CTCTCCTCTCCTCTCCTCTCCTCTCCTCTCCTCTCCTCTCTCTTCCTTCAGTAGGGCATAATTTTGTATCCCTTTCTTGAGAATGTCAGGGCTGGACAAGGTGCTACACATTTTTTTGGACAAATTATTAGATGCAGGCAGTGGATGGATGTTTCACATGTACTATCATGCTGGGAAAAGGCAATGGGAGTAAGGAAAAGGATGAAATGAAAGAAATCAGAAATTAATCTATGGTTTAGGTATGTGGGGTTTTTTCTGTGCAAGGTTACGGCTGATTTCTGACACCTGAACACTGATTCAAGGCATGTCCATACTTTCCTTAGGGGAGCTGAGTTTGGTTTTAGTACTGAATTTTGTTCACCCCCTCCTTTCCCTTCACGCAAGGCAGAGAACACAACATTCCTCCCTGGGGCTTTACTGGCCACTATCTGAACAGGTGGAAAATTATTATCCCACACTTTCATGCCAGTGTCCCAACAGGTGTTGGCTTTTCCAAGCAAGCCTGTCTAAGTGGATGTCTTCTGGCCTGGCTGATCAGTTGTGGGGATCTGGGATTCTTGCCTAGCAGCAAATGCTTTTCTTCCTTGCTTGGCATAAAGCACAGGCAGGAGACTACATCAAGGGTGAAAACATGCCTCCTGCTGTTGCAGGGTTGCTGCAGAGAGCAGCGGAACAGCCCTACACACAATACTGCTGCAAGACACTCTGACTCTGTAACTGGCACTGCAGGCGCAGCCTGGCTGTACCTGCAGAGCATGTCTGTCATTGAACACACGCATGGGTGCTAGCAGTAGCAGCAGCTGCTTCCCAAACTCTCAGAGCCAGAGAGATTACTTGCTCCCGGGAATCATTGGTACGGTAGGAGGAAGGTCTACAAAAAGCAAGGCTCCACCTTCAGGGTAATAAGTAAATGGTAAAAATTCCCAGGAGCAAGGGCATGCACTGTAAAAATGCTGTGAGATACAGCCTGGGACTCTTGGCCACATGCTGCAGTAATAGGAAATCCCAGGTCTGACCAGGAAACAGAGACCATCTGTCAGAGTGGGGGGAGTTCCCTCACCACACCT